ACTGGTTTGATAGCACCTCTAACAATCTGAAAGACCCGATGGGTTTCTGGTTCACCTTTGGTACTGCCATTTACACTTGTGCAAACTGGACATAAAATGTTACCTAGTGATTTGTGTCCAATCCCAGCAGAAAAGCAGAAGGAAAAACTGTGATATGAGGTATTGCAGAACAAAGTCCTACAGACTCTGCCAGTGTTGGAATCAGGTAGGACCAGCTTGTGTTAAGAGTCCCTATTTGCAATGAAAACTCTTGAGGAGCAGTGAACAAGTACAGCTGCAAACCTGCCCTCCATGGGGCTGGTGGGGCAGGTTGTCACTGATGGGATGAGGCCATTCTTGGCATGAAAGGATTTCAGCCTTTGTTCTGGCATAGTCCATGGCCTTTCCTCCCATAGTGCCTCCTAGAGCCAACTCAGCCAGCAGCTCACTTCTCTATGAAGTGAACATCTGTCCCATCCTACAAGCTGGGACCCTCCAGACTCATTGCACCCAAGTCCACACTCAGCTGTCAGAAGAGGTTATTTTCTTAAAAGAAGCAGTGTTTTGTTCTTTAAAGAACTTGATCCCATTAGCCCCATTTCCCATTCTTTCATTCTATCTACTTCAAGATACACAGCCTTCCCTGCTTGTGGTAAAAGCTCTCTCTTCTTGCAAACCTGCCCTGAAGCACTGGGAGCCCCAGCAGCTATGGAAGAGAAGGTGGCACATGTCCCTGTCCCTCTGGTGACCATTTTACAAGACCCATCTGCAAAAAGAACTCTCGGCAGTACCGGGCCATCAAAATGCTGTCATAGCACACGATGGGGCTGGAGGATTAAGTATAAAAATGTAAGAAAACATGAAAAACATAACAGTAATTCCGAAATGCCTGTCACCTGCGAGAGGGGAATTGGATCGGTGCCGTTAGAACTAAATATTAACTTTTATGATAAATACTAACCAAGAATATAATCAACACTATCAAAGGGAAAACCACCTGGACTAAAGCCTTTGCCTTTATTTACTCCTCACTAMAATTTTAATATAGCTGTGAAAATCTCCACAAGTTAAAACAGTACAGATCTTACAAAATATCTCAGAACTTGGTGTATGGTCAAACACTACTTTCACCAAGAGAAACCTGGCACAGACASACTATTAAAAACCTACGTTATTTTTCACAGTTGATACTGTTTGTTTACTTTCTGAAATTTTCTTGGACCAAACTAACCAGAACAGTGAAGTCCATTTCACTTTGATTTGCAATCATTTTCCCTCTGCACCACAGTGTGAATGTCAGACCCTTCAGAGGGAACAAGTTATCCTTTAAAAATAACTATTTCCAGTGCATTGTTTCATTAAAAAAAAAAAAATTATAAAGGATTTGGATTTTCTAAAAGTTTTGTTAAAAAAAAAAAATGAAGTAACTTGAAGTTAAATTTCAGTCTTTAAATTCCCATTAACATTTATGAAGCTCTTTTAGTAGAAGCTCTTTACCATACAGATCGCAGTTTAAAAAAGTTCTATAAAAACAGACTGGAGTGAAACCAACTGAAATCTATAAGGCCACAGCATGCCATCAATTTCTAAACAGAACTTCTATTCAAATTACTCTGCTTAAAACCTCATATGGTCTGCAAAAATGAGCAAGATTTTCTTGAAATGATTTAAATAACAATTTATCTAAGACTGTAATCTCTCTTGTATGGGATTTGTAAGCCATCCCACAGAATTCTCTAGCAGGGGACACTATTCCCTATTTACATCAAAGTTTTATATAAATAATATTACAATTTTTTTTAATATTCTGCAGCTGTTTTCCCTTATGAATAAGCTAGGCCTATGAAGAAAATGTGAAAATAGGAAAACTGTGAGTAATATTTATAATAATGATATAGTCAACTCAGGAAATTGCTACAACTGTCTTTATCAAAATAAACAAGATAGATATTTTTBCCTCCTTTAAGAGAAAAGCAAAATCCTCCACTATTAAAAATAATTTAACTTGGTATTTGTTTGGTATTTTCATTTAACTGTCTTATATAAAATTTTGGTCCTGTTAAAAAAAAATCAAAAAAAATCAAAACCCCACCACCAAAACATACACACAAAAAAACCCAACAGCATTGCCTGTCGTCTCCCAGGAGTGAGAGCGGCACATACACACGCCATTCAGCCCAAAATTGCTSTAGCTACAGGGCATGGCAAGGCATGAAATAACTGCTCCAGAGCACTTCCTCATGTGGGTGTGTTAGATAACTGTCTGCTCCAACACTAAAATAAAGCACGGTGTGACCCAGCGAGCCCCGCACAGCTGCCCGGGCTGCGGGCAGGGGCACCGGAGCGGCCGGGGCAGCGCCAACACACCCGGC